TATTAATTTAATTTGATGATTTATAAATGCTTGTATTAATTTATGACATAGTTTACAATTGCAAACTTTGTGTTATGAAAAATTTTAATTCAAAACAAACTGTTGAATGTATGTGATGCTAACGCTTTAAAACGATCCAATTAGCCAGAACTTCGTTATAAGACGCGTAACAAAATGTGAATTCAAATATTATAGTAAACTCTTTTTTTTTCTGTNATCCTAACCCATAAGAAACTTAAACCTTAATTTTCTCGTTGCCGTGTAAGTTATATTCTGTTGGTTTTTAAGTAATATTAAACGTATTTGTCCAAAGTGGAGTACCTAATTCCAGTTTTAGACACATGTAAATATTTCGCTCTCAGCATCACATTATATAATATTTAAAGATAGGTGAGGTTCATACCAAAGACTTCATTTTTAAACTGTATTCCTTAAAATGAACTCAACTCTAAAATCATTAATTTTTCTACTCGTTTGAAGAACGTCCAATTCAATATTGGCTCCTATAAAAAAAAATTTATGCTCAAAGTTAAGTAACAAAAAAAAAAAATTTTATTTTACAATTTTTGTATCCTTTCTTTTTTTCAATTAAATTTATTTCTGTTGCCCCTTTGAAAATAAAAACGCTTGATATTTAAATAATTATCGAAAAAAGTCTTTTGAAATAAATTACATCACGATACCCTTCGGCAATGTATTTGAACATCTTAATTAACTTCCAGACTATGCTCAAAGGTAAGATTATAATATTTGATGTAATACCAGGAAAAAAAAATTCAAATGTTTTATACGTCGATAACTTTTACCTTTGATTGCGTGTCTCCCTGTGATAACCAGCTATTATATGTATAAAAAAAATTCTTCGCTTCAATTCTGGGTCAAAATCTATCGCATCGACGCCTTTAATAGCTGTCGGGTATGGGTATTTATATCGCTGGCTTTCGTGACTTCTCTGAATTATTTTTTTCTTCTCTACATAAGATAGTCAATTGTAAGGGTTTCAGCTATTCCAATGATGTATTTGTCTTTAAGATATCAATTGAATGTACTTGCATCCACTATTTTACCAACTATAATTTATTATTTAAATTTATGCGTAGATTACATAGACGTAAAGAGTTTTAAAACCGTATTTTATTTTTATACGGAATATCTAAATGATAGAAATTTACCCATCCTCCATTTTTATCTTTGAGTTCCTTGCATTTGGTATGATTTATTTAGTTTTCGATAAGAGCACTTGATTAAATTTAAAACAAAGAAAATGTAATATTAGTCTCAAAATTTAAATCTATGATTCGTCCTCGTTTCAAATTTAGGTAATGTATTGAAATTTAAAAGTTTTTATTTGTTTTAAATTTTTCTTTCAGAACGTTCTAAGTTTAAAGCAATTGGTGACATAACTAAAAGAGATACAGCTTTATTTTTTTAATTTTACTTTGTTTAAAATATCACAAGCTACGGCGATTTTTTTTTCTTTTTTTGCTTACTCTTTTTTTGCTTACTCTTTTTTTCCATTTAATAAAAATAAGTAATTGCCCGAAATAATAAAAAGAATTAACTATCCTGCTCGACAGTTTCTTTTTGAAACGTTACATAATTTCGGAGTTAATTTAATAAAAATAATTTTTCATATGCTTGTTAATTTTTCATTAAGAATACGTTTTGAAGAACATGCTGAATAAAATCAAAAATATCTTGTAATAAATATTATAACGCATGGAGTAAACTTGGTTTTGATTAATAGCTTTTATTAGAATATAAAATCAAGATTATTTTAGAGCTCTTAGTCACAATAACGATGACACGATCAGCTTTTATTATGATAATATTAGCATGCAATATAAAGAATACTAGGTTAAAAAAATAGAAAGTTAAGTGTACTAACATATTTTTGTCGTATATATTTAGAGATTTTACAAAGTACATAATATTAAACTTTTAATCTTTGATTAGAATTCAGGCATATCCATCTTATCAGGGACATAGCCAATCGGAATCCGAGAATCATAATTCCCCCATGTGGGATTATAAAAATTTTCTTGCTTCACCCCTCTGCCTTTTTACATTGAAAATACGTAAAAATTTAATATTCAAACGAAATAAGTTTATAAACATTAAAAAAAGATACTCATAAGTAAAACACTAACTTTTTTTTCCAATTTAATACCGTAAACCCATGATTGCTTTAATAAGATCTTAAACCTTTAAAAAAAATTCCGTATTATATTCAGAATGATTTGAATTTTTACGCTTGTATAGAGGTTTGTTCAGTATTTTGAGAAAAATATATCTGGAATGTCGCTAATGTCAAAAAAAAGAAGAAGAAAATGACTTGTCGGTAAGAGTATTTTGATATAGCTGTCACTAGTGTGTGCTATCTTCATAAATTCTCAAGCATGAAATCTAATTCTTGTAAATGGGGGAAATAAATCAGTTAAATTAAAAGTTCTTCACCTTGAGTAATCATTTGGAACAAAATCATCATTTCTTGTTTGAGAAATAGTCGCATTATTATTAATCTTAAAAAAAATTATCATTCTTAATAACTGACTGTCTGCATGTGAGTCATCATACTATAAAATGAATCACCAAGAGAGTGCATTTTTTTATTTCCGGATTCGTGCATTATGCCTATTTTATAAACCCTCAAATATGGTGCTTGAATAAATAAATTCTCTCTTGGATTTAAATCAATACAGTTTTTACATTGTTCAAGATGTTTTAAACTAAATGTTAAACTTCTTAATAAAACAAATTGTGCCAAGCAATATTTCTGTATGGCTGATAATGTACGAGTTCTTTTTTTTTTTTTTTTCTTGATGTATCTAAAAACGTCAGGCAGAATTTTGATCAGAAGTTGGCCAAGAAGTTAGATTTCATCCGTTTGTTTATCAGAAATTATTATTGTAGTCTATGCAATCAGCAGCGGAAATTACATGTTGTGCATATCATAAGTGCTCTGTCTGAAATGCGCGTTTGTGAAAATAGACGAAGCAATTAATACCGTTTTTTTTTTTTTTATTTTAAAAAAACCTATAAAAATTGCTTTAAAAAAAGAAAAGAAAACGTTAAAACTCACGAATGTCAATAAATTCGTAATGTGATGTCCTTTTGCCTAAACCTCTTAGTACAGTGGCTCCCAAATGGTGTTCCGCGAAACCCTTGTGTTCCGTCGATAAGTTAAAAGGGTTCCGCGAATTAGTACTCGTTATAACAAGTGTTGAAACCTCAGATTATATTTAGATCCAACCTGTGATTCATAATTTATTTAATCGTTCGGTTGCCTTTTCTGAAATTATTTCAAGTAAAATGCCAAAGAAATAGAAATTTTTTTAACTAATATATAATATTTCTAATAATATATTAAACTAATTATGAAAACAATATGTATTTATAAAATATTGCATTAGTATTTCCCATTGCGCTTTTAAAGTCAAAATAAAATAACTATAATATCTTTAATAAAGGAATACATATTTCCCTAATAATCGTTTCATCGCATTTCGTTTCAGTTTTCTTTTCGAAGTTAACCATAATTCGTCTTATTTTATTCATTTATAGCTTATGTATATTCACCAAAAACGAATTCATGAGATACTGCAGAAGGACTGTATTTCTAAATTGAATAACTCAACTAACCGATTTATAAAACTTTAATAAAAGGTTTTTTTAAAATTTCAAGTTTTAAAACTATGTAAAGCATCATAAAATTTAAAACATCTCTTATTATAATGCTTTTTAAATCACTGATTTTGTTTAGTAAATATCAGTTTAATTTATAAACGAAAAATTTTAGGCCTAAAATTGTATTTTTCTCCGCTGTGTATTTAATACAAATGTTGTTCAGAAAACAATTGCTTAAGTTTGCAAATTTCTTAATGTTTGAAAAAAATATATGTATACGTATTTCGGTTTTTGGTCTTAAGAAATTAATTTTTAATACCTAACCCCGGCTCAAAAATGCTTTATTTAACTATTAATTTAGAAAATATAGCAAAGCCACCTGGACGTATTAAATGTTAAAAAAAAGTCGTAAACTATTACTACCTATGTCTCCATATTTTACTTCCACATGTCTGTGTTTTGTATAAACTAACTGAAAAATTAATTATAATTAAAAAATACTTGTTTTGATATAGTAAAAAAAATATTTTGTATTTTTTTCAATCAAATTTCTTTCCTACATTAAGCTTTAAGATTTTTTCTTTTTAACAGACAGTGAAATAAAATTCGTGCAGGTAAGCGTGAAAGGTGAATTTCTGGCGATATTGTGCCTGTTCTAGCTCTTCTACCATTTAATATAACCCTAGAATCCGTCCTCCGTTAGAAGCGGGGGAGAAAACAGAGAATCAAGAACCGAAACAGAAACATTCACTCTCAGCATCTTGTCAAACCGGATGGTTATATTATTTCTCTTAAGCATTGTGTTATCAAATAGAGTACACTCTATAACCTAGAGCTGATTGTTTTGCTACACAGTTCAAGTTCGCCGAACCAGCTGTTGGAAGCCAAACGTCGTGTTTTATTCTTCAAATAATTTTTTCTGCCGAGAAATCGAATGCTTTCAAAATCGTTTGCAAACTATGCATAATTTTTGCAACCAATTTTCTCCAAAACTACGCACATTTTAATGACTTATAGTGTTAAAACTTCATTTGATGAGTCATTTCATCTCCGAAATTCCTGACATATCGATTCGTTTCTGTCGCTCCCTGACCCAAAAAGCAGGAGAGAAAACGCTCTTATTCTTTTTCAGTTGCTGCTAAATTGGATTTAGTTTGAGTGTGTTAGTTATTGTTTGTGTCGTCGTTTTATCAGTTTATTTTTTTGAGGTGTAGTTATATCATTAAAACTATTTAATTCCTGATTGAAAGAAGATTTACATAGATTTAAAAAAACTGTTGCACGATTAAAAAGCACTGAGTTTTTGTATAGATTTGCTTTTGAGTAAAGCTGAACATGCCTAATTTTATTAAGGAATTGAAATGTCCTTTTAGCTTGGACAGACTGCGTGCTGAGGTGGTGCGATTGCGCTCCGATTGCAGAATGTCTAAAGCAAAGGGTGCAGTGTCGCAGGCGGTCCACAAGGTGATCATGGTGGGCAGTGGTGGCGTTGGAAAATCGGCCCTCACTCTTCAATTTATGTATGATGAGGTAAGTGTCTTAAAAGTTTGTATTCTTAATTTAATCAGTTTTAACTTAGAATGGATATACCATGCTAAAGAAAAAAGATGGCAGAATAGCCGTTTTTTAATATTTTCTTATGATACTTATTTAAAGTTTTATAAATCTCAATATTTTATAATCTATAGAAAGGAGTTTTTAATATTTTATTGGTTTTAGTCTCTATTTATGAAGTTATATTGTAATATTTGATAACAAACACTGATGCTATCAAAAATAAACTTAATAAAGGTTGGGGAAATATGGTATTATTAAATATTTTCCTTCAAAAATAACTACTAAACTAAAGTTTAAAACATTAATATTTAAGTGCACTTTTAGAAATTTTTAAATTGACCGGGAAAGTATTAAATACACAAAACATACAATGTTTGTGTATTTAAATATTTGTGTATTCAATGTTTGTGTATTTGTAATGTTTGATAACAAACACTGATGCTATCAAAGATGAACTTATTAAAGGTTAGAAAAATATGATATTATGAAATATTTTCCTTTGAAAATGAACTATTAAACTAATGTTTAAAACATTAATATTTAAGTGCACTTTTAGAAATTTTTAAATTGACCGGGAAAGTGTTAAATACACAAAACATACATAAGTTAATATATGAATTAAATGCACAAAGTAGACATCACACTTTTTCTAATGCCGTAGATTTTTATATTCTCCTCTTATTTTAGCGTTATTTAAACTTTTCATAAATTTTTAATACCACTGGCGATTCATTAAGTATTGCTTATGTAGAAAATAAGAAAAATCAAGCTTTACTTAAGTTTATAAATTATGTGATCTCAAAAATTTTTAAAATATTATTGATCAAAAAGTATGAGCTCGAATCGTTTCCAAGTCACTGTTTGTTATTTATGTCTCTCAATTTTTATGGATAATATTCAAACATAATGCACTTGAAAATTCAATTCTGAACATTATATCAGCATAATCCTAGTACATAGAACTACAATGTGATTTAAATATCGAATCTCTCGGTGTATAAGTTAAGTTAACCCCTTATGTTTGATTGCGTGTTAGCAAATGTCGGCTATGTTGGGTGAATAAGTCGACCACTAGAAGAAACAAATATAATAAATTTTGAAATTTTTAAAAAATAATTCTAGTCTACATTAAGTCTACAAAGTTTTTTTCAAGTTAAAAGTATTTCACATTCTTCTGTATGGATATGATACATTCGCCCTCAAATAAAAGATGCTTAATGTTGTTCTTACCGACATAGTAGATGGTCTGGAAAATTAAAATTTGTAGCTGTATGGTAATTTTCATTATGTTATATATTTTGAAATATTATTGAATAAATTATTTTAATTTTTCTTATTCTTAATTTTTTTTAATGTGATTTAAAATGTTTTTAAAAAAATCTATGTAAAAAAAATATAATGGAAGAAAATGCTAAATTGTATATTAACATATAAAAAATTATTTTTAAATGGATAAATTGATGTAGAATTATTCCTATCTCATTGTATATAATGCATCGATATTTCGCGATTGATGAATATCTGACTTTATTATGGATGTATTTTCGTAAAACTTTGGGGGTTTGAAAAGTTGACTTAATATACCAATATAAACGATATGTTTGTTGAAAAATTAAAAACTCGAACCTTTCTTCCGTTTAATGAGTAAGGGGCAAGATTAGCGGTCGCAACTCGCCATGTGACGACTGAATAAAGCAATGTGGCCACCAAAAAATTGCTATCATTCGCCACTCACTCCCTGTCGCTTCTTTTTGTTATTTGACACCCCATCCTTGAAATGCACTCGCATGATGGGCATAAAAACCTGTGTCATCATAGTTGTATTCATACCTGCCGACTATTACGTTTTTTTTTAAAAAAAAAAAAAGGGTTTTCCTAGTGGTAGTGCAATGAAATTGCGATTGTATGTTGATGTTTTGTAAAAATTAAGCCAACAATTAAAAACATTATCAGATAGCTAGAAAGCATATAATATGTGTATATGTTTAAATTATTCAAATGTATTGGTCGTCAAAATTATTTTAAACCGTATTTATTTAATTGAAAATATAGTCTTCGGGGAAAACCGAAAGAGTTTTCAAGTATGCAGTATTGCATTATAAATATTAAAATGAGTAGAACTTTAAGTTGCCAAAATGAAAATATTCGTTTTGAAAATCAATTAACATCGCTTGCTTATAATTCTTTCTATAATAAAATTATACTATTTGTTTCTTATAAATAAAAAAAAATTCTATCAATTTAGAAGCAAAATTATTGCTAAGCTACTTGGAACGAAAAAAGTGGCCGTCAGATAAATTTCCCAGTCTTGCCCTTCACAGGAAGTAAGAATTTGCTTGCGGTAACTTGTTACTTTATTACAGCTGTGGAGAAATATTTGCACCAGATTTCGCATCATCATTTTTTAATATTTTTGTTTGTAGATTTGGGTAGGATGATAATATGAAATCGCGGAAGTTATCTTAAACAGACATGCAACGGGCAATACTTTTCTTTAATCCTGATACGCCTTTAAGCGTGTCCGTTCTGCTGCTTAATTTTTTTGTCTTTATTCATCAAAGAAAAGTAACGTCAATCAAAATTCATACCCTGAAAATAACTCTCGGCATTAGTGCTCAATACCGTGGAACGAAATCATCCCCGAAATCGGTATGCTCTCGAATACCTTTATCAAATTACTCAACAAAATAGATTATTTTTCGCAATCTTCCTTAAATTACACTTTTTTTTTCTTTTTTTTTTTTGCTTTATGGACCATCTTATTGCTTATTATTAACTTCTTGCGTGCTAATTCTGAACTTTCCTAAATGTGAAGTAATTTCTAACATTTAGAAAGACTTTTTTTTTTTTTCTTTGCCCCAATCATTACAAAAGATTTAAAGAATATGAAGGGAAGACTTTTTGATGTTGAAAGACAGTATTTTACGTAAGAAAAAAAAAAAAAGAAACGCTATTATCTTCTTTGAATTTTAAATGCATTTTTCTGAAAACCAAACACGGTGAACTAGTTACTTTTAACCTTTCGCTTACAGTGTACCTTGTTTTACCATCACATGTCGTCCACTTGTTATACCAACCGTAAGCAAAAGGTTAAGACACAAAACTATGTTTTTTTTTTTTTTTTTTTTTTTTTAATATATTTATTAAAACTTTGCAGTGTTTTTTAAAATCATAAATAATGTTTTTTTCCTTGGTTTTGTTTTATTTTCTCTTCAAAAAAATTTTTTTTCAGTTCTCTGCATGTTGCAGCTCCCCCTGTGGCTAAAACTTGTCCTAAAAAAAATTTGGAGCCGGAATAATCACGTAAATTAGATTCGCTAAGTAGAATATTATAGCCGATTTTCGATAGGAAAACCCAAAAAATTGTTTCCGTTAAGTAGTATGGGTTCAGGCACTAAGCTATCTTTAAAAAATATGAAGGTTCTTCCCCTGGTGGCGGCTTGAACCGCACCCAACATCTGAGGATAAGGAACATGACAGAGAAGTAAATGAGGTCGGTGCGCAATGCAATCAATTCGTTGATCCCGTAATTGTGATGAGCTAATCCCCATAATCTCCTTACAAATCGACTTTCTGGGAACGTTTTATTGTTATCAGTTTTAAGGAATGAAAGCTTAAAACAATGATTAGTCAATGTTTAAGATTTCCAAAAACTAACATGTAAATATAAAAACGTTCAAAGAGTTTTTTTTTAACCGAAGGTTATTGCATGTAAATTAAAATAAAATAAAAAAAATTGTTTTATTTCCATTTTGTAAATTTATCCAAAATGTTGACTCATTTAAAAAATGCATTTAACTTTGTCTCAACATTAAACTCTAAAGTTTTATTGCATTTAAAATTTATCCAATACGTTAGTGCCCCTATAGTTACAGCCATATCCGATTTACTTAAAACTGCTGCACCTTCTGTACTATTTATGTAGTACATGTCACATGTGAAATGGGAAAGTATATATTTTTTTAAGAAAATGATTACATTCGATCAAAATAAGGATTCGGTTCAATTGTTTTTAATTATTCCAAAACTTTGAATTCAATAAAAAAAATAAAGAAACTACGGGCAACATTAACATATTTTTTTAAGTATATTGGAAGGAAATGGATGGAGTCGTGATCTAGTCAAAGAATATAAAAATTCTGTTTAGAAAAAAACGTTATTAGGAAAAATGATTTCGAATGACCATACTGTAAGATCATATTTTTTTTTTTTTAAAAATAAAGCTTAGTCAAGTGATCTTTTTGTGCAATTTTGACAATAATTAACTTCCTGTTTTTCTATTAAAATGATAAGTGTCACCCAAAAGTAATCAAATTTTATTTTAGAATTACTTCGCAATAGCATGACTACAAACACCTTTAACTTAATACATTTTTTCATAACTCTAGTGTGAACAAAAATGTGAATTTTTATGCAACGCATGTAATAACAATCGCAAAAAATTATAAAATTGATTTTATACTGTTATTTGTTATTAACATATTCCAAACTACAATGAAATATCACATCGTGACTGTCGTGATTTGATCTAACACAATAGAAATTTTTTTTCAGCTACAAAAATGATAGTATACAGCTGGCAATTGTTATACCTTGCTTCACAGTTTCTATTTAATACATTCTGTTCTATGTGCAAAGATTGCGTTATTGCACATTAATTTTAAATAAAACTTCCCCGAGTTTAAATAGTTTATTTCTTTTTGTTTTTGCTATTACGAAGTTTTTATTAACTCGCTTTCGTTCCTGTGAGACTGGTAATGCGCAATCACAATTAGGGTCACCTTCAGACTAATTTGTGTTCTGAAATCGCAACGGGAGCTCTTTGTGTGATGATTATGTGACTTTCAAACCTTTCCTGACTGTTACCAGCGGAATTAATCTACAAATGCAATTATTGGTCAGTCCAACATTCGATCCTTTTTAGACTAGTTGAGTACTCAAATTTCAACTAAAGCTCTATGATTGATGCCAAC